AGATTTACTTGAGAAGTAGAAAAAAAAATGCAATATGCTCCATCCTTTCAGCCTTCAGACAGTGGAGTAAGGAAACATGGGTGGTGTCATGTAGCTGAACTGCAGTTTGACAGAGAATAGGGAAGTAAGAAAGGAGGCTGATACTGTTCGATGGAGACATCCTGGAGAAATGTTCCCTCCTTTTATGTTACTTTCCTTTGAGTTACAGTGAATTTGAAAGTTTGATACCACAGTGTCTTCACAACTTTGAACATTTCCTTCTCCAAAGCGTTTCATTGCGTCATATGTACTTGTGCAGTTTAAAACCTTTACTGCTGGAAAAAAGGCCAACAGAAGGGAGTTGTTTTTTCACTACCAAAATAATTTCCTAGCTGTGCATTTAGAAAAAACTCACCTGTTTTTATTTATGGTATGTTTCAAACCTTTTTAAATAGAGTTACATATCTAAGGAATTCTGATACAGAAGTCAAAGTCAGGACTATCCCCTGAAACATTTTGAATTTCAAAATGCTGCAGAACCTTGTGCCAGAGGCATTAGCTGTAACAAGGTGCAAATTCTCACTTTTGAAAAAGTTGCTGTCACCTGGGCTTGGCTGAGGTAGTTCAGCCCAGGGAGAGCACAGAGGGGTGCGGGCCATGTAGCCAGGTGTGCCTTCCTGATGGTGGGGTGAGACACCTTGGCCTGTCAAGAGTTCCCACCTCAGCGCTGGCAGAGGCAGCAAACTTGGTCCTTCCTGGGAAGATACTGCACTGACAAAGCTTCATTACCTGGAAGCAAGGGAACACCCTACCAGGTACCAGATTGCTCGGCGAGGTGACTGAAAGCTCGCTCCTCTCTATCCATAAACCCTTCTGCTTGCTGGCCCCAGAGGGTGGTAGTTCAAAGCCACCTGTACTTAAAAGCACACAAACAGGAGTCGGAGGAGGATAATGCCTTCATGCCAGTCAAACAGGGCAGTCTGGGCACTAGAACTAGAAATAAAGATTAGAAAAGTATTTTTGCATGGGAGGGGAGGAGTGTACAATTTCTATATTTTTTTTTACAATGTCTTGCATGAGTAGTTGAATGAGTTCAAAACTGTAAACTTTTTTTTTGTTTATAATTCCACTTTCACAGCTGTTGTTGAAATGCTAAGACTTTAAGTATAATATACATAACATACTTAATATATATAATATACTTAATATGACCACATAATGGAATATTGTTAATTCTCAGTATCAATATGCTGAATTGTAAAAATAAAAATAGTGTACAACCTATTAAAGAGTCCCCTTCTCTTTTTGTAGGACACCTTACAAAGCAGTAATGTAAAATACATTTTTCACAAATGTTTATTTGGAAAGCTTCAGTTTGTTCTAGTTAATTAGTAACTTTCAAATATAAATAAATTTCCAACCCATTTCTAGCACTGAGAGGTACATATGAGTCCAGAACAGCTATAAGAAGTTTAAGTACATTTTATTAACAGTGCATCCCTTTGATAAGATTATGCTTCAGGAGGCTTTTAATGCCCATTGACATGAACTGTACACACTATACAAAAAAAAAAAAAAAAAAAGAAAAAACCAGAAAAGCACACAAAAAAAAAATCAAGGTGGGCAATACCATTTTGGGACAAGCCTCTGTTTAAATTATACACAGCTCAATGTAATATTCTTATGGAAAATATATAAATACTTTTTCTTTCTATGTTACAGGTATACAATATAAATCAGATTTCAATGTCTGTTCAGTGACCTACAAACACTAGAACCTCCAAATATGTAGCAGCGTATTACTAAATAAAGACAGACCACACAGGACAGGGAGAGTAAGTCTTGAGATTTTCCTTGATCCGTTCCCTCCTCAGAACTATCAATTTAGATAATCTCTAAGGCAGTTTTAGGGATGCTGACAGCCCAGTATTGGAATAATTTTTCAATTAAATCTATGAAATGTCTCATTTTTTGCCCCTTAGACATTACATCTTGTGCTAAAACACCCCATTCAGCGGCAAAATGGTATGTTACAGTTTTTGGCATAAATTACATTTCTCAAATAAAATAGTGTATTTTACAAAGCAACTCAAGTAAAATGTGCAATTTCTGCATGCTGTGGCATTGCTGTCCACCTATGTTACAAAAATAGTCCAAAGAAAATCCACATTCTTTACTGAACATACACATTGTTTGAAAACAAAACTATCCCGGGAACCAGAATCAGGAGTTAAACAAAAACCAAGGAGAGGTGGGGCTTCTAGCAAAATACAAGCATGATTTCTAGCATGTTCCCAAAGGTCTCTTGCAGTTCTCGGATTTTACTCTCACCTAGTATACCTTTAATAAGCAAATGGTAATAGAGGTATAACTTAAAAAATTTATAGGACCTCCTTTCAACTGGCTCCAAAGAAGCTCAGAGTAACAGGACTTTTCTGCAGCCCTGCTGGGAGGCAAGCAGAAACCTCAGAGATGCTCCGAAGCCTGGCAAGAATTATTCCACTGTGATTCCTCAGCTTGAGCTCACGTTCACTTACAAGGTAACACCAGCTTCCTTCAGTCCAACAGCCAAGTACCAAGACCAGGACTAAGCAGCAGCAGCAACTCTTTCATCTCTCACTAGGCTTTGCTCATTGCCTGTCTCTCAAATACCTACCTTTCTCTTCAGGTGCCTAGTAAAGGTGCTATAGGTTTTTTTCAATGTCGCTGCAAATTACGTAAAATAAAACGACAAACAGACATGCAGTATTATCAGTGCTGCCTTTTCAAATGTTTATATGGGCAGCTTACCCCAGTGTGCTGAGCCACGGTGCCCTAAACTACTTCAGCACTTTATTGTGCCTTGGGAAAAAAACAAAAACAACAAAACACAGTAAGAGCGCATTTAAGGTACATAGGTCAGGTCAATTAAGAACTCTCAGATGAGGAAAACCGACCGTCTCAAGCACAACATGCCAGGGGCCCAACATATGGAGTTAGGCACCTCAAAGCCTAACCATCTCCAGCTCCAATGATGTCCACAAGAGCTGCCAGTATTCTGCATCTCTGAATTTCAGACAGCTGAAAGAGCACAGTCACAGCACCCAGCTTTGTTCTCCTCCTCTCTCCGTGGGGAGAAACTGGCCCTCAAGGACGTAACTGGGAGCCCTTTAGCTAGCTCTCTGCCCTTTGGAAAGGGCTATCCCCTTCCACTGACTGCAAAAGCAGACTAAGAAAAATAGCCAGCTAATTTAGTAGACTAAATGCGATTAGTTTCACAGCCAGCCTCTCCTTCCCACAAGGGCTTTCGCCTCAGAGCTGAGTATTTTGTGTTAGCACGTTGAATGATTCAGGAGTTTTCTTTGCCACAGCAACCAAACTGTATTTGTATATTGTGTAATTGAATGCTACATGCTTTATCATTTCTTTGACAGTATCACCAATCATTCAGATTGGAAAAATAAAGCAGGTGGTCTGTCAGCTTCCCTTGCAAACTTTTCTAGAAGTTTAAGGATTCTTTATTAGGGTTAATATAAGCACAATTTTTATTTACTCCTGTTTTCCTTTGAAGTTCTATCATGAAGCAAATAAAACCCCAAACCAAGAACTTCGAATAGGATATTTTAAAAAAGAAATCTACAGAATTAGAAATTCACAGCTTATAACTAGGCCAATGTCAATTTCCTTCAGTAACAGTATCCCTTCATTTGCCAATTAAACTGAAACATTGTGAGCTTAGTGTAAATATGTAAATTAATTCTAGAAATGTTGTATGTTATGTACAGTACAGACTTGACACCCTTGATGCATACTTGTTGAAATCTACTGACACACACACTTTCAGGAAAAAAAAAAACATTTTGTAACTGAATTTGCAGCAATAATTTGTAGGTCAAGTTTCTGTTGCCATGGATCCCCACACAAGCAAATACTTCTGATCACATAAGCACTTCAGGATGGAGACTCTTTCAAAAGTATACTGGCATCACTTTTGCTTACCTCTTTATAATCAGAGGCCTTCCTATGGCGCTTTCTACATTAAGTGCTATGGGTTAAACTGGTAACAAATGAACAAAGGTGTTTTTTTTTTTTAAATACAGGTGAAAAAGCTTGTTTATTTTGCTTTAACTGCAGAAAAATAACATGGAGTTGTTTGAGGTAACCCCATCTAGTAACTAAAACAAATCTCTTATACTCTAGCCTAACTGAGGTAGTGTCTGAAACTACTGTATAAGATATGCTAGCCCCATTTTTGGGAAAACTACGTTACTTCCTTTGGAGTTTATACCACTATTTGGTCTACGGTGATCGACATTTTGGTTTTACAGAAGCATTTATTTCTTACGACCAGAGAAGTCCAATAGTTACTAGTGTGGCATGTTTTCAGAGTATTTCAAACATGCCTTGACACATAGATACATTATTTGTGTCACTGACCATGGAAGAGTTGAATCAGTTTCTTTTTGCTTCTTCTTTCAGTGGGAACTCACGAAAACATAATCCGAGGAACTCATTTGATTATGAGCAGCAACTTACAATCTGCTTTACCAGAACCTCATGGTATGCAGTGCACATAAGAACTCAGTAAAGTGATAGCTGCAAAGCAGTGCTAATGTGGCAAGATGAAATTTCCAATAAGAACAAATTAATTCTACATTTCACTAGGAATCGTGTTTTACTGTTCACAGGACTACTTACTGAAATCTCCAGTAGCATAGCTAGTAAGAACAGAGTTATGAGCATCAGGATAAATTTCTCTTATCTTCACTTAAGTATTAATCTGACGATTATTAAAAAAATGGTAAAAGTGAATGGATAAAAATCTGTTCTACTTAGTACAGTCCAGCTGAATTATTCACCTATATCAAAATCAAAGGGTAATCCCTTCTATGACAGGCATTCTAACAAAGGTGGCCATGCTACTGTATATACACATCTGCATATATTTATATTACCTTTGTTTAAAGGCTTCTGAATCTCTCTCCATGATAAAAGTGGAGGGGATTCTCCATGATAAAAGTGACAGGGATTCTTACTTTTTTTTTAAGCTTGCACTCATTAATTTAGAAACCTCACTAGTAACGTGACAGAGGCAACTAATTCATTAACAGTCACTGTATCATTTAACTCTTGCAACACGTCTTAAATACAGGTATAAAATTGTAAGTACTGCTGCTCCAAAATTTGGTACTTAAGGCTTTTCACTACAATTATTAGTACTATCTGATGCTTGATCACTCGTCCATTGAAAATTCAAATAAACCTTTGTTTTTATAAAAGGCTTTTTCCATGGAACTTGAAAACCACTCATATTATGTCTTCTCACAAAAGCAGCAATGATTAAATGTCTTCAAGTTTAGTTTATACAATATTCATTTATCTAATACAAATCATGCTTTTGAAAGGATTTTAGTTAAGACCAACATTCGTACTATATGAGCATGAGTGTAGAAACTGCAAACACATGCATATCATTCAAGGAAAACAATGTGATTTCAGCATTTTAAGTTTAAATGATTTGCTATTTTTAAAATCAAACTGTAGTGAAAATCCTTAACTGGTTCAGGTAAGATACATGTATGTAAATGTAATGAAATAGGAGAGACTGCTAATAAAATGACTTGCAACTATAGCAGTAGCAAAATAACTTAAAGGAAACCTCAGATTCACAGAGGCTTTTCTTTCTGTCTGAAGTTACAAACCCCCAAGTAGTGTCATAAACAGTACAAAAACCAACAGAGAAGGGCTAACATTAATCCCCTGGTGTCCATGATTACTACATGGCTCCCCATTGTGGCCAATGGAATGCACCCTCATCTCTCTGATTCCTGGTATCCAGGGTTTAAAAAGCAAGGCATCGCTCTGCTTCTCTGGAACAGAATCGGAAGTCCATCAAAAAAGATGTCTCTGCATGTTGTTCTATTTTTTTTTAATTTACGGTAGAAAATGAAATGAAAACTTGTGGAGGTGTTCAGTGCTCAGCTCTTGCATATACTGGTAGTTACTATTATTAAAACTATGGCAATGTTTAATAACTCCCCAAAGGGCTCAAAAGACTGGGGCAGTAATTGGTTGAGGAAGAAAAAGATTTCAGTTCAGTCTTCAGGTACCAGTAGCTTCTGGAACGGTCTAGAAAATGATGCTCCAAGCTTTTTATCCAGTCAGTCAGAGGTTGTCTGAGGATTTCAGAAAGTCTATATGCAACGTACTGCACGAGACAGAGGTCAGGATTCAGCTGATGTATCGATTACTGGCTGTATTGTTGGTGTTGCTAAAATAGCCTCTGCTTCTTCATGCATCTGAAAGAAACAGTTAGAGATTTTACTACAGAGACATCATAAAATAGTTTCCTTTAAGACATATCTGAAAGCACCTTTTATTCCAAACATGAAACTTGCACCCAGCTGGCACATTCTGGTGCATTCAATGCATCTGAATCTTCTACTTACTTGTAAGAACTGTACATCTTGAAATAGCTCCTGAATGAACCTTCGAGATGGAAGTCGAAATGTACAATGTGCTAACAAATAGGATACCTCAGAGTAAAGGCATATGTCATCAAATGCTTGGGGATACTTCTCCTTAATTCTAAAAAACAGAAAAAACCAAAATTTTCGAAGTCTTGAACATATTTCCACTACATTTGAAAAAAACTTGTTCATTTAGATTTTGATTGTCATCATTAACAAAGTACATCTCTTCAGTAACAGGCATTATACATTCTGGATCTGATGAAGCAAGAAAATCACGACAGCGTTATTTTGTATCAACCTGAGAGAAATCTGTATTAATGATATGAAACCATATATAACTTGAAAGTTGTACAGTATTGATGCGAACATCTAGTCTTAAAATAATAGAGGTAGAAAGAGAACAGTATATCAAAGAATTGTCATCCGCATTGTACAGCAGTAATAAAGAATATGGAAAAGCTAACTTCATTACCTGTAAGCATTTTCTGAAACTAAAATGAGCATTTCTGCATTTTCTTTAAGCGGATATATGTCGGTTTCCAATGTCACTAACCCAGAAACCTGTAGGTTTTATTCTAACATTTGGTACCTGGATACATATTCCCATATTTTAACATGATTTTTTCCTATAAATTAATTCAGGTAGCCAAATTGTTGCTCAAAGCAGATTGGTGTTTCTCAAGAAGTTACTTTCACTTTGTTATTCTGCTTATCTGGTATTTATATTATTTGGCACAAATAACAAAAAAAATTTTTTCTTTTTTCAAGATGCATGATATACTGGATATGTAATGAAGTATCACTACAGTTTGAATGACTGTTTTTTAAAAAGACTGGGGCAAAGTAAGAAATTAAAGACAGAGCAAAAATAGTAAAAGGAAAATTCTTTTCTTAGCTTTTATGTTACATTCAAGCACTCAATCATTCAATCATATCTGCTTGACAATTTTTTGCGAAGTCAGAAATAAGGTTAATCACCATGCCAGAGATCTTAGGGAATACAGCTAAGTTGCTAAAAACGTATCAAATGTGTTGAACTTACGTTAGGAGTCCAGTTTCATGGCCCTTGGTTCCTACTGAACTACTCAAATTGATTACTAAACGTAAGACTTCTTTCCGCAGAAGTATTCTGCACACTGGTGTATCATCTGGGATGGATTTTACTCCTGGAGAAACAAATTGAACAGTATGGTGTTTAAACAGAATAGTTTTTGATTGTGCTAATCTTCTGCCATGTTAAGTCTGGTTTAACATTCCATAAACACACACACACATATTTATGTATGTATTCTGAACTACTGACAATTATTTCCACTGAAATTAAAACTTTTAAAAAATTACTATTTTCAGGAAGTTCAACACAGAAATATTTTAAAAAGGTAAATTACCATTTCATAAGAGGAAAAACCTGTAAGATTCAATTACCATGCTAAATCATGTTGCAAACTGTGCAAGTGATTACCTGACTCTGTTTCCATCAGATGCTGGGTAACTTAGCAAGCAGCTACTTCATAAGAAACTGTGATAATTCAAAATGTAAAACATAAGCCTAAAACCTAAATGTCTTTATCTTTACAGAAATTCAGTATTTTTTTTTTTTTAAACTAACACCAGTGGGGGTGAAAAAAGGCAATCAATTTGCTTGTAATATCAAATAGACAGGTATTTAATTAACCTGCAGAGATCCCGTATAGCAAAAAAAGAAGAGTTTAAACCTATGTTCTTCCATCTGCCATAACCATGGACAATGCAACTACCCTTCTGGATAATGGTTAAATCATCCAAAGGGGGTTTTTTAGTCATTTTTATTCTTGTTCTTTTGCTGGGGTTTTTTTGTTCGTTTTGTTTTGATTTGGTGGTTTGGGGTTTTTTTTTTTTGTTTTAAATAATGAACATTACTTCACTGCAGCATGTATAAATGAAATACTATTTTTCCAAAATACTAAAAAATACTTTTAAGAGTTATAGTCTCTAATAATCATAAGGCTTTCAAACTTACCTAGGACAAGCTCTGTACTCTTGGTGCTGCTAGCTGAACCATGGGATACTGCATCACTACAGCCTGAAATTCCAGAAAATTTGGAGGAATGCACATCTAAGTGATTGTGTATGGTCTGCCCACACCAGTCAGTATATGGAATGTCTGAAAAATCTGACATAAACAAGATGTTGCATCTTTGTTACTCTCACTTTTCCTCACTTCAAATGCTTTTCTTGTTTTTCAATAGTGGCAAGCATGCAAGACACTGATGCACTTAGTACTGTGCATACAAACCAGCTGGAAACTAGATGTTGGATTTTGGACAAAACATACTCAAAATGCCTAAAAACCACTTTTTTTTTTTAAATCTTAAAATACTCAAGAAAAATAATCAACTCTAAGATGGTGATGGAAGCTTAAAAACTGTCATCACAGATAGAGCTCTTATTGATATATCTGTGCTGTATTTAACATAACATAATAAAGATCCTCTGGCATACACACAGCTATTTTTGTTCATACAGTTATCACAGATGTTGCAGAAAGGGTTCTGACTCTGACTTCATCCACAGTGTGACAATTAAGAGTCTTCTGGGAGGTTTCACTATGCCTTTGGCATTTTGTATTTAAAGAGATGAACATAAAAGCCAAGCTTTTAATTGCCGTGCTCGTAGGAGAAACACTGAAAAACATAGGTCTAAAGGGAGTCCTGGAAATCACTCAGTTCAGCCCCTTGTTCAAAGAAAGGCTCACTGCAAAATGAGATTAGGTTACACTGCGAAGAGTTTCCCCTTAAGTTCAGCTGAAATTTTATTCCTACAACACACGTTCGTGGCCTCCTGTCCTTTGGTTGTGTGCCTCTGACAAAACCTGGCTCTGCTGCACCTGTAATCCCCCTTACACTATTTGAAGACTGCAATTGGTGTTGTATTTGTCACTCCTTCTCGATACTGAATTCAAGCTTAAAAACTCAGCTCTCTGGGCCTTTCCTCACATTTTGTACATGATCCCCCTAGCCACAACAGTACTCTTTATGTGTAACTACCTGAGTGCATAACACTGTTATAAAAGGCGAGGATGCCTACTACGCATCTGCTACTTGATTATCGTTTTATTACAGACATTGCAAGAAGGTATCTAACTGTAAGTGGCAGAGGAATTTAGGAAAAAATAATTCTCAATCTGATCTGAATCTCAAAACACGAAGACAGATGACTAAATCCCAGAAATTACAGCTCCACTTCAACAGACTCCTCAGACTTCCTTTGTGTTGTTTTATGGTACAGACTTGCTTTGAAGTCAGACTTTGCACTAGTTTGAAAGCAACCATCAGTTCTCAGGACATGGATTTTAAGTACTAAAAGTATCAAATTGTATATTTTGATAAGCTCTTAGAAATATTTCAGAAAACATGCAGGCATCTAGTCATACTAACACAACCAGAAATCAAAAAGATGAAAATGACCATAGAAATACCATTGGTTGCACAGTGAGATTATTAAGGACTATTAATTTCAATGTCAATAGTCAGGAAAAAAGACACCATACAGATGAATCAATTTTAAAGAGGAACAAAATTCAGTATTTTCATTCAGTTTTGTCATACTTCCCCACAAGGAACACTAACCTGTACGACTATATGAAGAGTTTATTTTGTTGTTAGGCTGATAACCCAATATTTGAATGCAGACACAGTAAAGGCAATTCTCATCTGTGTGCTCCTGTAGCCCTGTATCCTCTGTATTTTCTAAAAACTGAGAGGCATCTGAACGGCTGGTATTCATTATTTCTGTGAGACTGATCTGCTGTCGGAGCATCTGAAAAGGGCTTTTGACAACATCACTTGTACCTGATGGAAGACCTGTAGGTGAGCAATTACACATAAGAAGAAAACAAAACCAAGCAGCCAACGTTATTTCAACTACACTTCCTCTTTTAAGCCTTTAAGGCTTAAAGCCTTTTAAGCCTATAAGCCTTCTGTGTGAAGGCCTATAAACTTAATTTTTTGAGTGGTTAGGCTCCCCAGATTGTTAGCACTGGGGAAATAGACATCATGTTTTAATTCCAGCTTATCATATATAACAAAATATTGCAAAGGACAGAATTCAACCTCTAAACACACATACCACACACACCTAGAGTAAGATACACGGTAAATCCTGACATTATATCAACATTAGTAACAGTAATACCCATGTAACATTAATAGGTTACAAATTTTCATAGTATCAAACAAGATTAGTACAACAATATACTAGTTGTTCAAATGACACATGCACCGCTGAACACAGAAACACAATTAAAGAAACTGTGAGTTAGTGGCTGTAATAGGAATAAACTAGACTCAAAAATGCAGAAACAAAGCCAAAGGTACTTCAGTGACATGCTCTACTCTGGGTGAAAAATACCAACAAATAAAATTTTGAACAAGAGTTACTTTACACTGAAATACAGAAAACTACAGAAACACACTTTCAAGAAAATCAGCTTCATATATTACACTAACAGCACAGAAAAAAAAAATCAGTTGGATGTTCAAAGTGCTTGTAATAAAGTATCAGTTAACGAGGAGGCAAGACAACAGCTATGCTATCCTACAGGACCAGTTTCAACGCTTCTTTTTCAGTTGTCCTACTGAAAAGGGACACACTGACGCTCTACATGTTTCTGGTACTGTGGAGTAAGGAAGTGCATACTGTAACCAAAGCGCACTTGCAATTTTCTTGTACCATCACCTCCACTAATCAACTGTCATGGTAACACCACAGAAAGACAAGATATACTTTCTGGAATACACACCTAGCAACTCTGTTGATTCCTATAAATTCACATGTAATCAGAGGGAAGTAAAAATGTAACGACTTAATATGTAGCATACATATTTTATCTTTGCTTAAATTTTGTTACTTTCTTTAATGCAGTATCACTACCAGTCTTTGATTAGTATTAGCTCATGTTACAATCAAAGATATGTACACTTTCCTCTTTCCTCCTTTGTTCTTTAGAGCAGGGCCAAGCTTACGTTGCTTTGAAGCAACACCACATTACCTCAAACTAAACAAAACTGGAAATTAATGGCCTACTATTCTGAATCCAGAACACAGCTAAAAATAATCTTTTCCGTAAAGAAAAATACAACAAATAGACCAACACCCCACTCAAGGTACAAATAAACAACAGAAAGGTACAAGAGACGAACAAAAACAGTACCTCCTGCATCAGGTGCGAAGACCCTAGGTCCACGGTCATCAAATGGAGGTGTGGTTTTCTTCTGGAAATATGGAGTTTCTTTTACCTGGAATATTCATGTAAAAACTAAAATTAACACAGGTGATAGTCATATACAAAAGAAAAACAGATTTTGAGAAAATAGTATGTTGCTCATTTTTTACTTCAGGAAAAAGACCCAATTAGAGAAGGAAATTAAGAATGGGCTCCTGAGTACTAAAGAAAAGCCAATGAGAAAAACATACATTTGTGAATGAACATTTATTAAGCAAAGTTTATAAACAGTTAGTAAATGTTAAAACAGTGGTAACAGGCTGTAAAGAAACCAGCGACCCAGAAGGGGCTATTAATGATCTGTCATAATCACTCTACACCACTGGAGATCTCAGGAGAGCACTGCAAAAACAACCAGGACATCTAAAATGTTGCCTGTAAGATATTGTAGAGTTGAGAGAAGAAATGAGGCAACACAAATATGCCACAAAGACTGTGAAGGACAAAGAAAAAGCAGTCATTTCATAAAGGAGGAATAGAAGCAGGAAATGGAAAAATCTTGCCTTTGCTCTAGATTTGGTAATTTTTTGAGATTTCTAAGAAAGCAATTTAGTTTTAAGAGGCAAAGACTAAGTAAACTGAAGACAAGGAAGCCACTTATTTACCTTTGACATATACCAGGTCCTGTTTTTGATGATTAACTAAAAGAATATTAAACCCTGTGATACACTAGTTTGTTAGATGGCAATATGCTTTAACCAATTAGAAAGAGGAAGGTAATTAAGATCCTTAAAATAATCTGTTTTAACTTAACTTATTTAAATTAAATATATATATCTGTGAGGTTAAGTAAAGACAGTATAATTTAATGCTATGATGATATACATACAAATAAAATAGTATTTCATCAAGATCATGGTAGCAGGAAGTTAACTGTGATTATGTACATCAATTAGGGTTGAACAATGAACATATCAATTAGCTGGCTAAAGAGGTTATTCAAAAATGTCCACAGACTATGCTAATTTCAGTATAAAAGCTGTCAACTAAAAGTCTTATGACAGCATATTTATGCTACCACTGTTTAACACCCTTCTAACTTAGTCTGTGTTATTATTTGCCTAATAGTACAAAACAGACTAGCAGTTTTCTCTAAACAGCATTAGAAAAGAAACTCTTGTTCTCCAAAAGGCATTCCTTGAAAGCATCAACATCAGTTTTTCCTCATTTCTGTAGATCTAATCTATTCTGATAAAATGCAACAGTTGACTACCTTTCAGTATGAAAATGCAAATGAACGCAGCAAGTTATCACATACATACCTGAAATATTTCATTGATATCCACTGGGAGAGCAAGCCCAATGTAATCATCAGAGCTACCAAATGTAGCATTAGAAACCATGGAGCGAACAGAGGAGGAACGCTGAAGTGTGTTTTGGTTAATAGGACTTAATAAATCTTCTTTATCTAATGAAGCATAACTTAAAGCTTTCATGAACCTGTAACATTGAAATAATATATCACAATGTTGGTAAGTCTTTCACTCTGGCACATTGAAAGTAAGAAGGACTGCTGACACAAAGACTATCCTCATCTTCCCATTGTAGAACCCAGAGCTTGTTACTCTGTCAAATTACAGATATAGGCTCATTGTTTTTTCTGTCTCACACAGTATTGCATGGTTTTGCAGTTCCTCCAGTAAATTTTTTTTCTTTGAAAGTCCTGGGACAGGGCCTTGAAAGATAACAAGATGGAACTTCTGCTTGAAGGCTGCCTACCCTGCAAACCACAGATTTTCTCCATCTTACCAGGGCTTTGAAGATTTACAGCCCAGACATGGTCAGTAAAGATTTAGGCTTTTAAACTGATAAATTCCTCATTTTCAAATGTACCTACACACTGAATGTACCTTTCCTTGATATTCACGAATTCTGAGCTAAGCAGGCACATCCCCGCAAACGCAAAGCTTTAGTCTATTAAGATACCAGCTATGCGACCAAGGAACATTTTTTTCCTGTACTCTAAAGGAGCCACCTATTAGGTCACCCAAACATGGAGAAAGAATTTGCTCAACGTGAATGTACAGAAGAACAAATTTGAACCTGTGCAGTGAGCAAAGCTGACTGTGACAAGCAGCCCAAGGAACAAAGAAAGAAATAGGTTGGGAAAATAGGAGAGGAGAGGCTGGAGAACAAGTCCTCATTGCTGATCAGAGTCCTGACGATGGAAATTTCACGTTTGGCCATCAGTCATTTTACTTCTCATTGAACATAAAAACCTATAAATGTTTTCTGCTAATCACCCTATGTAGATGATCTGTATGCAGTGGATTAAAGCTTCCTAGTAGAAAAGACACACCTCGGGAACAGTAAATTTTTATTATATTACTGCAATTTATTATACATTGGGAGGTAAATCAGAGTAAACATTTGATTTCTTGACTTTCTGCCTTAGAAATAACTTTCTATCATTTTTTGGTTTAGATGTCTTAGAATGTCTTCTTACGCCTAACAGGTTAATTTATACCGAGATAAATTATCAAGGTTTGACCATGTAAGGTCCAAGACATTATTAGGCGATGGGAATGCACAGAACACAAATTCTAGGATATCAATGGTTTTCTTGCTACAAATTCTGACCAATGTTGGTGACAGTAGCAATGGACTTCTTAAAATAAAAATCAAGCCATACTTCCAAACCCAAAAAGTTACCAATTGCATTAGTTATTTCATAATAAGCTTTCTACAATTACTCTCAATATAAAATTAAAGACCTAAGTATTAGTCCTAAACACTTGTCCCTGCTTCTCTTGGAAAAGTTAACGAATATATTAGTAGTGATAAACACCAGGAAGTTTTCATGAAACCATGTCTGCAGAGGATAGGCTGAGAGACATGATTAGGATTTGAGACATGCACGTTAACATTTTTGGTTGACCCTTAAAGACAGGTGGAAAATTTAGCCTCACAAAAAAAATTATGCAAAGAAATAAGCTTTTCAACCTTTTGAATGAAAGGAACAACTAGAAACATCACAAAAAATCAGTTTATAGCTGCTAGTTGCTATGAGCACATGAATTTGTCAGTGAGGCTTGACTCAAAGAAATTTTTATGAAGACTGACCGAAAAATAGCCTTGGAAGGAAAGAAAAATAAAATATTTCTTTCCGATTTATTACTTAAACAGCAGTTAAGGACATTACTTAGCTGGAAGTAATAACATATTCTGAAATTAAAAAGACCACAATTATTCAGCTGTCACCACTAAAGAAAAAAAAACACATAAACTAGTTACATCATAGTCTTTCCAATCAATTATATCAGTAACCAACAGAATCTGACAGTCTCTTGTAATATGTATGTCTGAAATTTTTAACCTTCTCAGACGTATGAGCACTCCAGCCATTTCAGTTCAATGTTGAAGGGGTCAGCTCAAATCCTTGAGCCTAACCCCTGATATAAGAGGTCATGAACAGCTAAGCACCAGAAATTCTGTTAGCATCACATTGCATGCTGAGTGTCTGGATGAAACCCCACTGCAGCAGGGCTGCTTTGCGTATCAAGGGCATGACTGCAAGGAACAGTACAGCATGACTACAGCCACAACAGAACCTGTACTGCCACTGAAATGACACTGATTTGTTCCTGCATTAGCACAGGAAGCCAGTGACAGAGCAAGAAACAGCATCAGGAGAGTGCAGCTTAACTACTGAATTATCCTTAATTTAATCAGCACACTCAGTCTAGTTCTAACTTAGCTGAACAAAGGGAACAAAACTTATCTTTCATGGCATCTTTGCAAATCATGTGAAAATATCAACAAATGAATGTTGCTCTGGCAAAAAATGTACTATAATAAACAGGCACCAGATACACTCAACTGGGTATGCGGAGTGCAGTTCAGGGACTGGGCATCTGCTGTTCTGTACAGTAAGGAGATGACTAACGTACTGGTAGCTTCTCCCCTTTCTCTCATCCAACACACAATGTTTAGGTAAGAATTGAGATAGAAAATGTCTTTTCCCCTTTCATAGTAGTGTGAGAATCTAATGCACTAGCTAAAAGCTGATTTGAAAGGAAAAATTTGATAGAAGAGCTTTTAAGAGAAGGTTGACTATAGCTGCTGGGAAGAGTATTAATGTCATGAGCTAGACAGCTTATGTAACTATCCAATTAGTCTTCAGAACATCTAATATTACTCAAAAATAGAGGTGACACTGCCACCTAAAAATAAACACTAAGAGTAAAATCTTTGCTCTGTTGTAGCTAATAAGCCAAACTCACATTCAGTATCAGTGGTACCAGTATCTCACCACTGGCCTCAATGCCACAGTGAACAGCAGTATAGCATATTGTAGATTTAGACTATATCTAGGGAAGAAATTTTTCACAATAAGGACAGTGAAACACTGGCACAGGTTGCCCAGAGAGGTGGTAGACGCCCCATCCCTGGAAACATTCAAGGGCACATTGTACGGGGCTTTGAGCAACCTGATCTAGTTGAACATTGCAGAGGGGTTGGACTACATGACCTTTCAAGGTCCCTTCCGACTCAAACTATTCTACGATTCTATATTGGCAGGAGTCCCTGTCCTAAAACCTCACCAAGTGACAGAGAGAAAATTTTCTTCTGAAATACAGCTCTGACTGCATGTACAATTTTATGTAATTGCAATTTTAGTCATGTTAGAGAGCACTTAAAAAGTTGAGAATTCTCATTCTATTGTATTATTCTCCTAATATTGATACTGCTTTCAGTGAAGTTATGAATTGTCCTGCAACAACTTTCACTTTCAGGTGAAGTTGGAAAAAAATATTATAAAGATACTCTTCTTATTTAATTTCTCTTATAGCTATGAAGTAAGAAATGAACACATAATAATCTCTTACCGGCTTGGGGTTAGACGAGAATCGAGGCTTCCAGACTTCATGGTAATAGTGTCAG